ATATACTCAAGGTCGGCGCTCGCTCGCTCAGTTGCCGCTCGTCGGTTGGTTTGTAGGGCGCGTTGACGTCCAAGGTCGCGGTGAAATGAATTCCAACGAATCCACAAACACAATGATCGACGTCCCTTCGACCAGCGCCGCCCTTTCGCATACGTGTGTACGTGTTCACTCATTTAACACCCCCTCCTACAACCACGTTAACCAATTTAGCCATGGACCCAAGTAAGTCGCAATTTAACACCCCATTTCACAACCACGTTAACCAATTTAGCCATCGACCCAAGTAAGTCGCACTTTAACACCCCGTTAACCAATTATATGCTCCGCATCCTCCTCAGTGTTCCCCCGAGGGAAGCTGCGGGCAATTTTTGTTATATGTGGAGCTAGCAAAACGCCCGCGAGCGCATCATGAAGGGCCCAATATACTCCAATGTAGCGCTGACATGCGAGCACGCTAGGCACAGCGACGCAACGTTAACAAAACGCGAACACTCTATAGTCTGACGCCAGGCGCGACTAGCGTCCGTCGGCGCGGCCCGACGGCAACTGGCGTGAAATGCGACAAACTGCATTTCCCGCCGATTCGTTACCCAGACAACACTGCATCTCCCGCCTTTCATGACGGAGGGACGCCGGACGTGCATACCATTATCGAAACGGCCAGGAGAGCTAAAAGTCGTAGGCGGCCAGAGGTACAGGGGACAGACAGACAGACAGACAGACAGACAGACAGACAGACAGACAGACAGACACGCTCAAAGTCGCCGAAGTTCGCTAAGAAATGCTTCGCATTTAAAAGTGTTTAACGATTTTGAGTACTTCGAACTCAACTATGGGAGGGCAGTGCGCCGTCCCTTGCTACTTAACAAACGCAGCGTCAGTGTGTTTAGATAAAGTGGGTGTAACGATTTAGAGTACTAGGTACTCTACTATGGGAGAGCGTAACGCCGTCCCGTGAGGAGCAGAAATCAATGGCCAGACATTCTGCACAAGCCACACACGTTAAGAAAAAAGTGTTAACGATTCAGAGTACTTGGTACTCTACTATGGAAGAGCATAAAGCCGTCCCCATGCTTGAACCTGAATCGGATAATACAGTTTAGTAGCTTACGAGCAATCAATGCTGAAACAAAGTCAGGCTAAATGCTGCCTCACATGTGGCGCAAGTTGGTCCTTGCGCATTTCTCCGAGTTGCTCCGGCAACATTGTCCCGACATGTTGAATAATATAAGTTATCAATGCTAATTCTTACATACCGTCGTATCTTATACGAAATAATTTGTAAATTAAGGTTAATGAAGACTTATCATGGATTGATATTGAGAGATTTGTGGCCCACCGGCACCTTTCAGGCGAGTTGCAACCAAACCTATTTTGTCGCAGGATGACGCGCGTATGCTCGTTGTTACTATATCGCGCGACAACTTTCTGTGGCAGCACAGCCAAGGCTACGGAGCCGAAGCACGCTTGTCTTACTGCGCCACAGCATGTAGTCCCACAACGAAAACGTTTGTATACTGTTCTGGGTAACTAAGATTTTACCATTCGTCACTTACATTTTTCGCGGATTTATTTTTTAATTAGTGAATAAAAACGTTGCGCAGTAGAAAAAATTTCGTTTCACGCTCTCTCAGGTTTTTTGGGGGTTTTTTGGCTTCCGTCGACTCGCGTTTCCTGCGACTCGCGTTTCCTGCAGCGAAACGCGAGCAAACGCGAGAAATCGAAACCGAAACACCCGTCGAAGCGGTCGGACTACTTGGCGCAGTAGCACATGTGCATAGGCTCCGCCCACGTAGCCTTGGCCGTGCTGCCACAGAAAGTTGTCGCCGGGTATAGGTCATTTTTAAAAGGACACTTAAGAGCTAGAAAGTAATGTACAATTTCACAATCAAGAAAACACCATTCTTATACCGTGGCACGACGCGTGTTAAAAGAAGAAACGCGCGAAAAGAAAGTGAAAGTGGAGACGCCACCTTGAGATGTCCGCACTATAGTCATCACGACTCTATAAATTTTGAAGGCGTCTACTGCATGGAGTTTCATTTAAACACTCTAGAGAGAGATCTCTGGCGCTAGTGTCTGTGGTATTAGCAGCTGCAACGCACGGCGCTTCAGTGACTATGGAGATCATGAGACACCAATTTGTCTAATCTTTGTATTTTCGATTCCGTTTGGCTTTGCGCGGCTTGGAGCTGATTTGTCACGGTACAAAAAATAAGCAAGTGTTCAGAACTTGCCCTTCACTACTTTAACGTTTTAGGCTCACAATTTTAAATCGGCTCACGAAATTCACAACGGTTTGATCTTTTATTTGTAACAAAGTCAAAACACAGCAATAAACAAAACCACAAGGGTGCTTAAAGCTCTCAAGCACGAAGAAAAGGCAGATTTGTGTACTACTACAGTATTGATACTCATGATTATCATGAGGTGCTGTTCTGGACACTGTCTAATTCCGCTATATTGTCGAATTTCGTAATGGCGGTATTTTAAGCCAACCAGAGAGGCCGTAACAGCTCACTTGGCCAATTAGCATCGATAAACGGCGGAATATGACAACATGGTGGAATTCGACAATGTCTAAAATAGCACCCATGGGCGCTGAACGATGAAAGCACCAGGGCCCTCTCCAGCTAATTTGAGAAAGCTCTATGGTTTACTGGGTCCTACATATCTATAGTCTAAGTATCTTCTAATCAATAAAGACGAAGTTCATTCTCATCTGTGGGTGCTATGGACGTAGCATGCGAAGCTTCATAAAATTGAATCGTGCCAATGTCGCGAAAAAAAAAAACAAAAAAAACTCATTTTGAAAATTTTGACGTCGCGCGTGACGGTTTCGGCACGAAATTTAAAAATAAAACTTCAACCTTGATTTGTTATGGCGTAAATGAAGTGCAAAAAAACGTAAAAAACTACAAGGACAAGAAAGTGAATACCACAAGCACTTAGACCAGAGTGAACACCAACGCACTTGTGGTGTTCACATTCTCGTGTCCGTCTTTTTTTTTTTAGCGCTACATTTACGCCATATTGAATGATTACCAACTCTCTCGCCTGTACGTTTTGCTTCAACCTTAATTATTCTACTAATCATCAACCTATAATGATGAAATATATGACATTGATGTTCTCAGAGTGCAGTTTGTCGATATAAACCAAGACAATGTTTCTCTTTAGTGTCCCTTCAATTATCCATGGAGTTTCCTAAAAGTAAAGGAGTACTGACACGATGTTGAGGTGCGGCAAAGCGGACGTTTCTTCGTTTCCTTGGAATGTAGTGTTAACGTTTTCCCCACACCGGAACCGGGAAACACGTATAAAACATTTTAATTTAATTTTAAAATTTTCATCTCCCGGTTTCCGCAAGGCAGCTCCACCGTCAGGAACAGCGCTTGGCGTTTCTAGTCAAGTGCACAGAAAATTGTGACGTCCTGTAAATGCGCGCGCCTTGGGGTAACGACAAAAATGAAATTGAAGAAAGCGCGACCGGCGCACCTTCTCGACTGCCTGTCTAGCGGTGCGCCGCCGACCGGCGTCATTCGTAGTTGTGCTTGCTGTGCGCTATCTATTTTGCTTCGACAGTCACATCGACAGTGATCGAGCGCTGAGACATTCCTGCTGTATTCATTTTCCTTTTAATTGGATTAAGCCCGTTATACCTAGTGGCACGGGCTGGGGCCTTTTTCTTTTCCGTTTTTCTTAAATTTCCCCACCATATTACATGTATGCGAAAGGAGGCGAGTGTGATGTCATCGTTTTTCCGATAACCGCATCCCTGTTTCGCGATGCCACCCACTCCTTGTGCCGTCAAAGACTGCGATTCCAAGACCGGGGGCGACGTTAGTATGCTCAGCTTTCCGAACGACCCAGTGGTGAGACAAGTGTGGGTAGATTTTGTGCGTCGTGATGGCAGCTGTGACTGGACGCCAGCCAAGCGAAGCCGGATTTGCACGCTGCATTTTGGCTCCGACTGCTACCGGATCGGGAACTATCGGTACCTTCTTGAGTTCGGCATCGCGCTGCCAAAGAAGCGATATCTGGAGCCAGTAGCTGTGCCCACGCTCTACGCTGCTTTAGCACAACATCGCGATGCATCAGAGCCCACAGGCAAGCGTATCTGTTTTCAGCAGACGATAGAGCTGCATTGGTACGTCACGATTTTCTGCGAATGTCTCAGTCCCCACGTCACTGAGGCATACGTCAGCTTGACTTGATACGTCGCTGTGAAGCCGCTCTTTCGAAATTGAAACCGAAAGTGGGTTTAGAAAAAGCGATATTAAAAATATACTCAATGCGTTTCGAGGCACCAGTATACTCTTTACTGGATCCTCGATACCAGTGCTTTTATTTAGAGCAGAAATCCAAAATTTTTCAAAGTTCGTGTCCGTACTTCGTTAACTAGAGAGGACTCTGGCGCTGCGATCGTTCAAAGACCATGGGAATGATGAGTAGTGCGCGGATTTTTCTAGTCGTATTTGCGGACGGCGCATCGCATTTGTGGCTTCGTTTCTTGCACTGTTCCGGTTTTGTTTCGAAAAAAAAAGAACAAACCCTTTTGAAGTTCATGACCCGATTTGAAATGGTAAGCCTAAAAGATTTAGGTTGGTGAAGCGCAACTGCTGAAAATTTGCTGATTGTTGTTTCGTGACAAAGCAGCTTCAAGCCGCGCGAAGCCAAAATGAACGTAAAGTACGAAGTCTAGGCAAATCCGTGTACAACCCATCATTCCCACGTTCGCTGAAGTACCATGCGTTACAGCCCCCGTAGACACTAGTTCCATCTAGTGTATATTTAGGAATCCCCATGCCTTCAATAGTAGCGCGGCCATCGACATGGTCATCAGAAAGAAATATACGACGACACGCGCCGCAAGTTTGCGCAGTGTGTTGCCACACGTTTGTTTCATGCGTCAATGTCCTATAGCCGGCCAACAGCGAAGCTTAAACGTTGCACCCTGACGCGTGTATTGGAGCGCATGTGTGCATGGCGTTGCGCACCTGCAGGTGAGTTCTACGCGCGTTTCGGGCAGGTACTGCAGCAGCGTCTCGAGGCCTCGCAGGTACTGGCACTCGAGCGCCTTGTACAGCTGCCGGTCCCAGTGGGCTCGCCAAGGACGCACTTGCTCGGCACTTTCCTGCGAAGAGAGAGCGAACTAGTCCACCGAGACACCTCCAAACCCTGCGCCGCTGCCCGATTAATTGGCCGTTAAGAAAAAAGGAACTCTGGCGTTCGTGTCTATGAGAGCAGCAACGCATGACGCTTCAGCGAGCATGGGAATTATGGGTAGTACATGGATTTGCCTAGTCTTCGTACTTTACGTTCGTTCTGGCTTCGCGTGGCTTGAAGCTGCTTTGACACGAAACAACAATCGGCAAATGTTCGACTGCTATGCTTCACCAGCTCAATCTTTTAGACTTACCACTCCAAATCGGGTCACGAAGTGAAAAACGGTTTTTTTTTTTAAATCAAAACCAAATCCGTTCGCCACCCACAAGCACGACGTCTAGGCAAATCCATGTCATACCCATAATTCCCATGGTCGCTGAATGATCGCAGCGCCAGAGTCCCCTCTAGTTATTTTTAGAAAGTTCCATGGGCGATGGTGCTTGGCGGGCTTAAATGTCGGAATAATAATAGAAGCCGTAAGGGAGGGAGGGGAACTAGAGATAATTTTCGCCACTATAGGACATTCCACGTGCACTGAAATCCCGTAATTTCCTGGTTTTAAGCATTTCATTTTCGTCTGAATGCGACCGCAATCACAATAGGCCAATACGGACTTGCGCCTCTGCGATTGCCCATGCACGTATATGTGGTCGATGACCATTGTTGAAACACTTTGCTGCAGAACTTCTGAAAGACAAGTGCCTATACATAAGCACGGATCTCGCAGAACAGCAACTCGAACATATGTGGCATTGCTGAGTGAAAACGCATTACGGTGCTAATGGGCTGCAACGAATATGTATTTGTTCAGAATTGTGGCTTGTATATACTCACACCAATTACTGCTCCCGTAGTTATTATTATTATTATTATTATTATTATTATTATTATTATTATTATTATTATTATTATTATTATTATTATTATTATTATTATTATTATTATTATTTGTGTGCCATAATGGAGGGAATAGGAAGGAAACAAGCTGACAACTACCCCCTGTAGGAGCACAACGCCTTCCTGCTCCTTATGGAAGGGGAAACATAGAAGACAGGAACACAGCAGGAAAAAAAAAGTTTAAAAAAAAGAGAAGCTATTTTGTTCTTTTGTTTTTTTTCTGTGTTATATGTTCCACTTTCAAAGTGAGACATATAACACAGACTGAGACCACTGTTATCCGGTCACGCATTGGCGTTTTTGCACCTATAAATGATCGACAAAAATCAACAGTTCACGGTGAGATTGGTAAGTTTACATTACTTACTGCATGTGTTCGATTATTCGCTCCCTTGAAAAATTATTGTGATTTCAAGGATATGGTTCTACGCTCACCTGTTGCTGGGCCATGATGGCCCTGATGTCATTGAGCACATCCTTCCAGTTCTGCTGGCGACACACTAGGTCGAGGTCGAACAAGGACATCACCTGCGCAGCGGGTTCTTGTGACGGCGTAATGCAGACTTCTCAAGATACATTTTGAGAGGCCATGCTGTAATGATAATTTGCTAGGCATCCCGACGAAAATATCAAATGTAATGAGAACAGAATTAGGCATATATAAACGTATATATAAACGTATATACTCAGCCGGCTTGATCTTACGAAAAAGGGGCTATAGAAATATATAAAATAAGAAAGCGAAGACAGTAAAAAGGAACGCTGGAAGGAAGAATACGATGAGAGGTCAAAAAGGAGGGCATAATGAAGTATCCACGAAAAATAGAAAGAACAGTATGCAGGAGAACTGAACATTGACAGCAAGTTGCACTGAGTGGGTATGACTCGTACCAATGAGTGAGTATAAGCCATTTTGAGGTATCATCATCATCATACAATAGGCACGTAACACAATCTTTAGTTCATAATTCGTAGCTTTGTCTGTCAGGAATAAGCGATGGTATGACCGCTTGCTCATCAACCGTTTTTGTTTATTCGTAGTTTTATATCTAAACTAATTTTTCAGATTGGCTTTAATTTCATTTCAGTTTCATTTAAGTATCCTGTCGCCAGGTTCTTGGCCCATACCCCACTGTAGATGAGCGCCATCCATCTGAGGTCATCAGCATCAGCATCAATGGTTTCGTTAGTCTGGTGTCCAGTTCTGTGCTCTTAAGAAATCTTTAACTGCACTTATTAGGAGTTTTTGAGGCTGTCTGATTGCACACTGCTGCCAACACACAAAAGAACAGCAAACATAAGGCACCTTGCGGCACACAGCTAGATGCAGTGCGCGCAGATGGCGGTTTCGGCCGGCCAGCCGAGCAGCCAGGCCGCGCAATCGTCCAACAAAGGCGTCCAGGGCTGCGACGTCTCCCCACGGCACCCGCTGTCTCAGGGCGCCGGTCAACTCCTCGGCCAACCCCAGCATTAGCGGTCGTTGGCTCGGAATCATCTGATCAGCCACCGTGCTGTAAAACGACGCAACCTGGGCGCAAGCACGGAGCATCGGCGAAATGTCGGTTGAGCAGTTAAAGAGCGCAAGAATACGAGCGCCATTGAAAAAGTTTGCATTCCGTGTGGCCCTTACACAGAACCACAAAGGATGGACACTATTCCGCTCTCTCTTTCGATATTGATTCCACCCCGTGGTGCTATCCGGAGGCGCATAAGTTATGTCCATGTGGAGGGGTACTTCTGACCCCCGTGGACATGAATTGGGGGAGGGGGTGTGGGACAAAGGCGCGCTCATCTGTCTTCCTCCGGAACTTGTCCCTGAGAGAAGCATGTTTCTCATCCCAACTGCTTAAACATCTTCGCCGAATTCACTCCCGGAATATCCCCAGTCTGTGCCTGAATACAGGCCGCGAAGTACACCGCATTGTACGATGTACATCGCGGTGTACAATGTAGGTTACGCGCGCCAATGTAGGTTATGTGATGTATAGAATCACCACAATGTACAATACAGGTTATATGCAGCGACTCATTCCATAGCACTCAGAAGTCAACCGGGCTTAATTCTGACGTCCAGGGTCGTGGCTTGTCACCTGCTGCAGCTGACGTGCACGGTGTCCGGCACGAGCAGCAATGTCCTCAAGCTGGCGAAGGGGCGGAAGCCGGCAGCCCAGTGTGCGCAGCTGCCTCGCTTCGGAAGCGATGGACGCCAGCCGGGGGCTCAGGCTGACCCGGGGACGCCCACCTGGACCCAGGATCAATGCAGGTTCGTCCTCCTGGAGGCTGCGTGGCCGACAGCGTTATCGTTTGCACATCTGGCCCTTCGCTGCACGGTTTCTGTCCTTATGCTTGCGTGCGTGGGAGTGCAGTGCGCATGTGTGAGCATCACAGGCCCGTATAGCCAGAAATTTGGAGGGGGGGGGAATGAAGGAGATAAAAGCATATCTGCATATCTGTACTTTCGGTAACCCCCCCCCCCTCTATAAGAAATTTGGGAGGTAGGTTGAACCTACCCTCCTGGCTACGGGTTTGGTACAGCGCAACTATATGCTCCTGTCGTGGGGGGCCAGTGCTGCGTCGAGCGCTCTAGGTCGTCCAGTGAGACCCATGATGTTGGTTTCGCAGACGTGGAACGGTGCTCATCTACCTAGTGAGTCACTGTTCACTGCATTTCATATGCCCGTGAGAATGTTACTCCAACTTGGTGATTGCTACCTATTAGTTTTGCAAGCTATTGCGGCCTTTCGAGTGTAAGTGCGACGTTTTTCACGTGGATATTTATGTTCGTTCAAAAAGCAGACTCTCTATTTTCCCGCATGTACCGGCATAACTTTTCTTAAGTTATCGCTCGTAACATATATGAAACTACCTCCAAAATAAGGCTAGATTAGCGGCAAAAGATGGCGCCGTTTGCGCTGATACGACTTTCACCTCGTCTTAGTGGCGACCTGCTGAGCGTTGCGGCTCCAAGCGTCCAGCCGGTCGGCGGCGGCTTCCCTTGCTTCGTCGCACGCCCTGTTAAGCTTCTGCACCAGTGTTTCCCAGGTGTCGCTGCCGTCGTTTAGCAGGCGCACCACCTCCCGAGCCTCCTCCAGCTGAACGGGTGGAAGACAAAATGAATTAAAATGAAGTTTTACTGTTGTCGCACATTATTGCGCTAATATAATTATGGAAGGACGTCAGAGCCCGAATTAGGCATTTGTATATGTCATGTTAGTTGAGTGTAAAAGACAATGGCATCGTAGTTCGCGTTATAACAGCGCCAGTAGGTCTTGTCACTTTTCACAGGTGCTCGATTGCTCTTTTCCATATAGGGACAAGAGGGCCTGAGATATAGATTAAGCGTTTTTTGATTCGCAACGTAGGAACCGAGTGTGTAAGTCCTCCGTCTGTTAGTCTGCTGGACAGTGAGTACAGGTACCTTTTCAGTTGAAATGTAATATCTAGATTTGAATACGATGTTCTGGCACATGTGCCATAATTTTTTACCATTTTTCTAGGTGTAATATTCTCGCTCTCTTAATTTATATGTGGGGTTTAATGTCCCAAGACCACCACATGATTATGAGAGACGCCGTATAGGAGGGCTCCGGAAATTTCGACTACCTGGGGTTCTTTAACGTGCACCCAAATCTGAGCACACGGGCCTACAACATTTCCGTCGCCATCGGAAATGCAGCCGCCGCAGCCAGGCTTTGTTCCCGCGACCTGCGGGTCAGCAGCTGAGTACCTTAGCCACTAGGCCACCGCGGCGGGGCATTCTCGCTCTCTTGACTGTATATATTGTCATACTGTGCTTGTCAAAAAGAAAGACAATGACAACATATTCCCGCCATCTGTGCAACAAAGTGGTTGCAAGCGTGTGCTCTGTCCTATCTGACTTCTTTCTAAAACGTTTCTCTGCGCACTTAGAACGTATATGCAATACCAACCAGCCCAAGTAGCCAGCCTTTTGCAGCATGTCCCATTCTTATTCTTCTAGTTACATCAATCTCGTGGCTCGGCTCCGCAGTTGTGCTAAGTTTACAACTTCAAGTGCACTGCTACTTATCTCGAAGCGCTGCTCTCTTCCGAGATTGTTGCACATTACTTTTGTTTTCCACATATTAATTTTAATACCTACCTTTCTGCTCTTCTTGTCTAATTCAGTAATGATGCATCGCAATTCGTTCCATAAGTTACTCGGCAATCCAATGTGATCGGTGAAGCACAGGTTGTTAAGGTATTATTCATTAACTCGTATCCCTAACTCCTCTCATTCTATGCCTCTGAAAACCTCCTGTAAGCACGCGCTAAATAGCATTGGTGAGATTGTATCCTTCTGCCTTACAACTTTCTTGATTGGTATTCTGTCGCTTATTTCATGGAGCACTATGGTGGCAGAATATTATCTGTAGATTCAAGGATGCTTATATATGCTTCGTCAACGCGATGACTCCGCAGTGTTTGCATGACTGCTGATATTTGTACTGAATCAAACTCCTTCTCGTAATCAATGAACGCTATGTGCAGCGGTTGGCTGTATTTTGAGCGTTTCTCTATTACCTGATTGATAGTATGAATGTGATCGATTGTTGAGTAGCCTGTTCTAAATCCTGCTGGTTTCTTTGGTTGATTCAATTCTAACGGTGCCTTAAGTATGTTAGCGATTACCATTGTAAATAGTTTGTACACGAAGGAGAGCAAGCTGGCGGGCCTGTAATTCTTCAAGTCCTTGTCGTCCCCTTTCTTATGGAATAAGATGATGTTAGCATTCTTCCAAGATTCTGGTACCCTCCCCGCCAGAAGACACTTCGTAAACAGGGTGAGCAGTTTTTGTAAAAGAATTTGTCCTCCGTCTTTCAGCAGAAGTGAAGTTACTTGATTCTCATTAGCAGTTTTGGCTCTTTTCATACTCTCCTAGGCTTTCCTGACTTCTTCTGTCATTACTAGTGGGATGTCACCTAGGTTACTGCTAGTTCTTAGACTATGGTCGTGGTTGTCTCGGCTATTGTTCATTTATCCCATCGATGTTGGCAGTTACTTTGCCTTCCTTGTCCTTTAAAGCATACATCTGGTTTTTGCCTATCCCAAGTTTCTTCTTTTCCGCTTTGACACTTCCTGCGTTCCTTAGAGCATGTTCAATTCTCTCTCCGTGTTATACCTTCTTACATCGAATACCTTACGCTTATTAATCAACATGGATTGAATGAACTTCCGCCGCCTCACCCTGGTGCGCAGTTCCTGAAGGCTGACTATGTCTCTGACGACGTCCGGTACTCCCTGTATGCTGCACGAAGTTTGCTCGTACGACTTCTTCGCCTCATCCATGCACTCGCTCAAAGCGTGCAGAAGCATGTCTCTGAAACATCAATAGGAAGGCAGTTTGATGCCAAGTCGTCGAGGAATCACAGCATTTTCAAATCATGCGTGGCTTCCGTGTACGAGAAAGTCGTAAGCCTGTGGTATTAGTACATCGCTGAAGAACACTCCCGGGAAAGTCCTTGAAGGCACGCTGACAAGAAACAGTTACTTGGTTTATATGAAATGACGAGACTCTGAGAACTCTAATGCCATATGTTTCGCCATCATAAATTTATTATTAGCGGAGACATTCAAGGCTCATGTTTCATTTTTTAAATTTTGCGCCGACATCTACGCACGTGACGTCAGCAATTTCAAAATGTATTTTTCGTATTTTCATGGCATCGGCTCGATGAAACTTTCTGAATCTTTGATTCAGAAAGTCTATGACACCAACTTATGACATTGTCTATGACACCCACTTACGACAATTTACTTCCTCTTATCGATCAGAAGCTACTAGAAACCAGTAGACGCCTTAAAAATCTATGACGTCATGGTGTTTGATGCGGGTATCTCCACAGACATTTTATTTTCGCGCGTTTTATCGCTTACTAACCGTCGTGTCACGGTAAGAGTGGTGTTTTCAGGATTGGGAAATTGTGCTTCACTAGTAAGCCGCTTCACTTTTTATTGTTATTTTAAGATCGATGAAAAAAAGTTTCCAATACCAGGATTTTTATACCATTATTTATTTAGTGGATATCATCGTTCCCGTGTACGTGCTGCTAGCTACGAAAGTCAATGTCGGCTGACTCACACAGGATGAACTGCGCTAAATGTACTTTGTAGAGCGGGGTCTTGCAAGGTGATCTGTCCTTCCTTCGCATCCTGGCAGACCAAAACATCCGCAACATATCACCACAACTCCACTCGCTAACTTGACCGGACGCCCTCATATTTATACGACAAGCCCAATTGCCACAAATCTGTTAGGTTTATATAAAAGCAGTTAATATTCTCTTGCCTCTTTACATTTTTTTTTCAAATTTAGAGAAGGTGGTGTTGGAAAGCAAGCCATAACATTGTGTTATAAAAACACCACCGTCTTAAACCTATATATTTCTGTGCATGAAAACCTTGGGAAATGTGCTCCAAGCAAACGACGAGGCCCATAAAGCCCTCACTAATTATGCTAGAACAATCGGCCTGTCTCGAGTGGTGTAGAAGTGGTCGACCACCTCGAGTGAGAACGGCTCTGTTGAACATCTACCGAAGGTGGATGCTGCCCTACGCATTTCACGAATTGACAAAGACTGACACCCGTTTAATGTACTTACCCGCTTCGCCCAACAATCGCTTCCCCATCTTATCACAAACTGCGGCCGACAACCGTCCTCTGGGACGAAACAGAGGCTCAGTTAGGTTCATTCATTCTTTCATTAATATTGAAAGCATAAGCAGAAGAGTTCCCTACGCTTCCGATGCCCTTGAATCCTACTACTATAGAGAGAGAGAAAGAGATAGATAGATAGATAGATAGATAGATAGATAGATAGATAGATAGATAGATAGATAGATAGATAGATAGATAGATAGATAGATAGATAGATAGATAGATAGATAGATAGATAGATAGAGAGGGGGAGAAATGAGATGCGAAAGGAGAAGAGGTTAACGACTAAGTAGTTATCCCATTTCATCGTTACACTGCACTTGGCAAGGGTTGTTGGTGTGTGTCTCTTTCTCTCTTTCCTCCTCTTTTTCTCTCTCTCTCTCACGCCACGTGCACGTTTATTTTTCACCTTCTCATCTCGGAAAATAACACTACAAGGTACTCATTTTTTTTGAAACGTAGGCACGAGAATTGAGTTAACATTGAAATCGAATGCTCACCTTTCAGGGGCTAGCTGAGCTTGCACGTCAGGATGTTTAAGCAGCTCAGAGTAGGATTTGCATTCCTGCAGGAGCTGCGAAGAGCACACAAGCTACATAGCCGCCATAAACGTGGTTAATTAAGCACAAATTATGCCTGAAAAGCAGTGCGAAATATTTGTAGGATTTATTCTTTATTCGCTTCGGCCGATGCGACGTGGGTGGCATTACAGGTGTCCAGGCGGAAACGTGGGGCATGTTTCACTTCTATTGAAATCAGTCAGACAGTTCGCAACTTCTATTTAATTGTTTATTACTCACCGAATGCCATAAGCGGGAACAAGTGGGGAAAAAAGCAAATAACACGTGTAATTACCCCAATGGTTTAATCTATATATAAGTATTTGCTGCATGCTCTACTCTTTTATGTTCTAGCTGGTTTGCTGTGGCCACTTTGAGGTTTGCATCCTCTCGGCTACTCCATTGCTGTAATATGTGCAGCTGTTCTTGCTCTAAGAAATAAACAAGTTCTGAACGTTATCCTTTCGGGTGTAGTATGATATTACGGAATGCGTTGTCACACGTCGCGTTAGTATAGTTGCTACTATGGTGACAGGTGTTCGGTGGAATCAATAGCAAGCTTGTTAGTCAGGATAAAGAAAACGAATTGAGTCTGCTGAGATTTTGCTCTTACGTGGAGTAACTCGATGTAGCTATCTTTCAGTCAGTGATAGAGGGAGATGCCATTTTAATGAATATCTTAAAGAAAGCCGGGCTGTCACCAGGCCTGCTACTACAGGTGTTGGGTGTTTACAACGGTACATTGATTTGGATCTCACTTATGCAAGAAATTGAAGAAAAAATTATTGAGCTCGGAGTGTCTCTAGAGCCAACATTTCCACAAGCCATATTGTCCTCTTCAGACTTCTTAAAAAATCAATTCTTTTCCTGATCAAGGCAGGACTGCATCCTTACTTGAGTAAAACAAGACCACTTGTCGAAACGCTGGCTACAGCGGTACCCCTTGCTCAAGAATGTTTCATTCAAGCTTTCATCGTCCCTTGGATTTTCGCCTTATTTGTATACACACAAAAATCCTTCATAACGTTTCAGTAACGTATGTTGTCCTCAAAAATACCAACAGCACTTCTATATCGCGCAATGTGCAAGGGCTTCTTTGCCATGGACCGAGAAGGTGGCGCATCTCCAAGCCGAAGCGTCGTCGCAAATGATTTACAGCATTAATGATCTGTCGCTCATGATGATTCACTGTTTTTTAGATGACGTACCGATAGTCCTGTTGTTCGCATCAGTCGTTCCCTGAGCGTGGCGGCCGCTCTGGCAGCCAGAGGGGCCAGCCACTGGGTGTGTAGAGCCATGGCGGCGCACCATTCGGGCCCGGGGTCCGAGAACCGCGGAGCCACGGGCAGTGGTTCCTGCGTGGTGGGCGGCGCGAGGCGAACCAGCTGCTCTTGCGTAAGGCGTGCCTGCAGCATTGTACGGATTCGGCCGCCCAGGACGGCGTCCGCGCTTGGGCTGCGGCCACATGCTGATAGAGCCAAACCGAGCTCTTGCTGGACCTTGGTCAAAGGTGTGTGCCATGGGTCCAAGTCACCAAGGAGCGTTTCTAGCCTGGCCGCCAGACCTCGACCTGAGGCACAATCAGTATCATAGACGGATTTTTTTTCGGACGGGTGGTTGCGGGGAGGGGGGTCCAGCTATACTTTTGCGTGCAGTTGTATGTATGCATGTATATAAATATGCAAAATTGGAAAATTGGGCAGGGTTGAACTTCCTAACCATTCCTTCGCCCTAGCCATGCTACGCAAGTTGACATGTTAGGTCTCTTATTAACTTGGAGAAATGCAGGAAGACTAAAGCGAAGACAGGATACATAGACAGACACAGGCAAGCAACAAATGAAGCTGTGTCCATCTGCGCCTCCTGTTCCTCGTCTGACAAGAAAGCAAGAAGCTACATCCATCCATCGGTGCACGTCATGGCCTTGAACACTCGTGGCTTGCTTCCAGAGTAATCACAAGCGCACTGGACAGAGTACAGCACGAGCACGTCACGACGTCTCATGGCGGCCACGGTAATTATGCGGTTCATGATGCTCAAACCAACCAATGGCCGTAGATTCTGTGTTTAGGACGTGGTCATTTTGATTATGGAATCACTTGCTGGACGAAGGGCGGGACATTTGCAGCTGAATTTGAAAATTAATTGTATATTTCAGACCATGTACTGCGCAGTAATGGTGGACTAGCATGTTCTTAACAGCCTCGACTACCTATTGGCAGTGATTTCTGACCACTATCCATCTATAAGTGCACGGGATTTCAGGCATTTCGTCGCCAACGAGATGGGGCAGCCATTGCTTGGGGTCTAACTCGTATCCTCGTACTCTACGCCAGTAGCCCCTAGACAAGGCCGCGTGTCAAGAAGCTTTGTGAGTACAGTTTCTAAATTAACAAGCTTTGATTATAGATCAGGAAAATGAAGGGTGAATCATGGACGGACGGACGAAATGAATAATCAACCGTCGCATGGAGCTCACCTAGTGCATCACGTAGAGAATTCCAATGACTTAGTGGGCCGCATGTCCTCCAGTAGTGCCAGACCTGCGTCCAGCCATTCAGCACACTCGTCCAGGCTAGCAGAACCCAGAGCGCACCAGTGTTGCTCTAGAGCAGCTTCATCCTTCCCTGCCAGGCATAAAAGAACCTGTATGATCCACTCTCTGTACTAATCAATATAATCATCATCCAGATTAAGACTAAGTCCTACTTTCTCTGACGTGGTGGCTTTTTTTTATAGTCATAATCTAAAACTGATAATAGAGGTCAATAGCTCCAATTATTCAATAAATGTTGCTCTGAATAATTTAAAACTTTTGTTCTTTTTATCTGCTTCACCACAAGACATTATAGCCTTACAGCAATGCATTGCGTTTGTTTCACCGCGTACCACACTTGTTTCACAACAAAGCTCACTTTAGGTAACTTTTTATTCTGCAGTTTTATGAAAGCCTTGCTGGTCTCCACCTTAAATGACCTTCTTTTTCCAAGTAGCACTCAAAATTTGTTTGATCCCAGAACATATAGCTGCATTCATTATGAAAGAATCACTGTTTCTTTATATTTTTTAATGTTTACCGGAGCTGTGCATTTCATGCCGCTGGATACAAAAGAGTGTGTATTCAGCGGCGGCGTGTGCATTCAGAATAATTTGTTGCGAGCCCAAACAATGCATGTTACAAGTATATAACACATTTCAGTATAATGCACTTACCTTTCGTCTTAGAGGAGTCGCCATCATGGGCTGTGCCAAGGGCCACCTGTGAAGCATTTTGAAGCACACATACATAAAAACAATGTACTGCCAGCAGCGAAAAACGTGTCGGCTTGCACCCCAATTCTGAAAAACCATTTTTCTAGACGTTCATTTTAGGATGCCATGCATACGTTTTTGCGGAACTCAAACATTAATAAATGTTCATAAGTGCACCAGGACTATCCTTGGAAGGGTGCATCTTACGGGTTTACCGTTTAATTATGCCTAACCACGGAGCAGAAACCAGAAGACTTAAGAAGAGGACTCAGATAAAATTGAATACGACGCAGCTAGTCATGGAAAGGGAAGGATAAGGATACCTATAGGTGTGTGCCCTAAAGGGACAAGAAGGGAGCATAGTGAGTCATAAAACCAACGGAGGTTAACGACATTTTAGTCGACATCAATAAGTAATAAGCCTGTACAGGGCCTGTAGTGCGTAGGCGAGATAACCGCTCGGCATTCAGAGAAACAGATTATTCCAAGAGATGACAAACGCGTGCGAGAGTGAATGAAACCTATAGGCGTGCATATGAGATTAAGAAGGTTGCGGGAATAGCGTGGCTCCAGCAAGGACAAGACCGGGTTGATTGGCAAGACATGGTAGATGCCCTTGCCGTACATTAGACAAAGTCAGAATGATGGTGAACATGGTGACGGTGATGATCATGTAGCTAGCGTGCGCACCTGCAACTGTCCAAGGCTGGTGGCCAGCAGCGGTTCGCCAGCCAACAGCGGCTGGAAGACGGCGCGCAGGCAGGCACCCAACGATTCGGCCACCGAGGGCGCCAGCAGGGCGCACACGCCGACATCGCCGCTCAAATTTTCGGGAGTGAGTACCTGGGGCCGCCGCTTGAAGAACACCAGCTGCCGCTCGTCGCCCTCGTCGAGCGCCGAAGCCTGCGGTGGTGATGAACACATAAGTGCGTGTGTCAGTAAAATAGGACGATAATATGAGTATGTGTCAGAAATGTCGGACAATAATATCGCCGAAAGAGGCAGTAGCACCCACGGCTATCAGAGATCACAGAGAGATACTAAACAACCTCAGATGACTCGAAGGCGGAAGCCGTAATTTCAGTAGGTTGTTTCTCCCATCGCTAGCGTATGGTTATGCTGCTTCCAGCAACGAAAATGCTGCAAGCTTTCCGCACCTCACCTGGTTTTTGCGTTGCCTCCGTGATCGACGCACCATTGACCAAGCGATAGAGTAACGCGATGACGTCATCACGTGACGTCACTTCTGCGTAATACCATAGTTACGGCATGATGGCGTTAGATATTCTGACATCTTTCACGCCTTGATGATGTCATGCGGTAACGTCGCCACGGGATGACGATTTATTTCGTCACTTACGATTACGTCGGCGCCGCGGGTCAGTGACGGCAAATCTTCGTGCATCTAAGGCTTTCGCCTTGATAATATTCCCGAAAATGGAGCAACGTAAGCTGCTATCAAACCATAGAGAGACACTAAAGAAGAAACGTGATGAGTTTAGACTGGGCAAGTACTCCTTGCAACTCACTTTTCATAGCTTCCTCTGCGAGAGATTGACTATTATAGGAGAAAAAGAAAGTACCACTAGCTATATGTCGCGTTTTTTTTCCCCTGCATCTTTGACATGTGTATGAATTCGCTTCTGTTAGATCCCAAGGCATCGGCCAGACTTCTTTTTCTTTATTTTTGGCATAGTAACGTTGATATCTGTTTTACCTTTTCTTCTTTCTGCAGAAAAAAAAATTACTGACGTAGCTCAACATCTTTATTACTTGCTTTTTATTTTACTTTCAGAGGACTTAGAGCTGACACACTTTTCAATATTGAAGTACGCTTAATACGCGTGAAAGTTTCAGATTGACAACTATGAACTGATTTCAACTATGCGGATTGCATTCAACACCAATAAATAATGGAGAGCTTTGTAAATATATAAATCTATTTGCAGCAGAGATACATACATCAGACAGCAACGTGTGTGCCAGGGAAAGTTCTGTAATGATTTACATACCAAGTATAATCTATTATCAGGTTAAGCAGAGTTAACAGAGATTGGTCACGATATAGCCTGCAAGAACCGTTAAAATGACATATATCTATGTCTTACAGGTAAGTAAATACGGGCTTTGGAATTTCTTCACTTATGGGTTTATCGGCTTTGAACCGATCTACAGCTGCCACAAAGTATCACTTCGATATTTTTCCTGGCCCGCGTACGAAAGTTGGTGACGGTTTACCTCTATCCTCCTGCCCTATGCGCACGGCTATATCCGTGTTCTGCCACGCATGCTTGTGTATGAGTTCATGATGTATGTTCCGAGTTGTACGGTGCCTATTTTACTATGAGTCGCCTATGATATTGCTTCCGTAATAATTGTTCATTCCACTGCGTGAGTTTGTCGTATCATTGTTACCACGTCAGTCTTTTATTCCTCAAGTACGTTTGAAGCTTTTCCATGCAAATGCATGTGTTCACATAGCACGAAGAATTTCATTTCATTTCATTTATTGATACTGTCAGCCATTTGCGGGCTATTACAGGAGTGGAGCTGACTCATATAAAACAGAAATGTGCATAAGAGAAACATAAGAAAAGAACCTTCACTACTGGAACAAATCATTTCAGAGCAAATACAATAAATATATCATAATGGCTAAGCAAATAGTTTACAGAGAATCGACCAAAGGTGCTTGGCAGTTGTTTCAACAGCTGACTCAACAAATAACAACCTTTGAACCCACTTCTCATCCATGGCTGAAACATCCTTGTAGAATACTTCCCTGTATTTGTGTATTGCTTTAGCGCTACTTAGTTTAAGCATTAAAAGGCAATAGGCAATAAAGGAAAAAAGATAAGTGACAGGGTGAAGAAATCCTTGCTTAGATTATTTTCATTTCTTGATATTCTTGCTTACGAAACCTTCATTATCTTTGCAATTTAAGACATCTGATAGTCTGACCATAAGCTTCCTTATTTGACGGTTTTATCTTTAGTCTGAATTCCCTGTTTCCTACAGCTTCATCGGTCTTTAAAGATGTTAACCTATCCCCTTTTCGAATGAGTGCCACCACAATGAAGACACCACCACCACCATCATCAACGTTATTATCATCATCAGTCCTTGCTTGCTTCTGTTCTTTTCTTCGCGTTCAGGCACTGTTATGCTAAAGCATCACATGAATATAATGCACTGACCTGCCTAATTAGCGGCAATTACGGCGGGATTCAAGAAGAGTTACCAGATTATCTACATTGCCGCACAGGACAATGGAAATGGTCCATTTCTTCGACAGCTTGTAAATGCGAATGCGCACCTGAACGGAGAAAGTCAATGCTCGGTCATTCGAGTTGCGGACGGCACAGAGAGTGAGAGTCGACGGATCGTCCACGAAGGCACGTAGGAACTGCCGTCCCCGGTGCGAACCCTGGCCCGGCACCTCGAGAAAGGCACACGCGGTTCGCACTACGAGATCGGCACACGGACCCCGTTCCGCCATCCGATAGAAAAAGCCGGCCGAGCGCCACTGGCACGCTCAAACAACAACCGTTGCCCGTGGTTACGCACCGACAGCTGGCCATGCACAACTGCCGCCTGCTCGTTCGTTAAACTGCTGCGCGCCACGTTCAAAGTTGCGCGGGCGAATGTTGTTCTCTCTCGAGTGACGAATGGCGTCAGGACAGCACAAGGTGTTCAAGAAGAAATAAGGCCGCTGAAAGTTGTTATGCCTTGGACTGCGATTTGCTGGTCTGTATGCTCAGGCTCGCTTTAAATGGTTGTCCCACATCAGCAGCTTGATGTACTAGATGCCACGTTGCTCTTTTGTTTCACAAAAGCTTCAACGTATTGAAGTATTAAAAATAATTAAGTCGAAATGATTAATTATGTATACAGAATAAATATAAAGTAAAACATATCAAGTACTCAGCCTGCGAGTATGTGCGCGCGTTTGTGGGGGGCGGGGGCGCATGCGCATTCACATTTTGGCGGTCTTTTTAGTATTCAGTTTCTCCGCAACTCAATGCACATGCCAGACATCAGCGTAATGCTATATGTTGCTAGTTCTCTGTTTACAGAACTGAAAGCGTTTGGGTCCCAGCCCACCCTGCATGTCGGCTATAGGCTTTCAGTCTTCCCGCGCTATAAAAGTGATGGAAGAGAGTGTGGCAGCGCGATCGCTCTCGGGTTGTTGACGAATCCTCGCGCGCTGCTGAATCCGAGTGCTGGGGGCTCTTAACGGCAACACAATGGAAGATGAGAACTCCCAGCTTCCGCGAAAAGATGCGCAACCCTGAACACGAGTCGTCCATCTTATAGACTGAGCGATAGCGACTCGTGGCCAAGTCGAAAGATCGACGTCGGTGGGTGCCGAGAGAGGTCCACAAAGCGATCGCACGGATAAGCGAGATGAAGACTTCCAGACTCCCGCAGACGACACGTGATCTCGACTCGAATGTCGCTTTCTTTTTTTCTGTGTGTTGCCGGCCTTCACGACGTGGTTGCAGCGTCTCGGTAAGCGATACTACCGTGAGAAACTATACAACGCATGAGGGACACGAGGATGTTAGCAGACCGGACGAGCACTGGCTTGTGATGCCACATTGATTAGAAAATAAGTTTGCACGAACCATTTAACCTAGAGGAATTAGAAAATATAGCATTAGCTATTTGTCGATAGCTTATAATTGATTGATTGATTGATTGATATCTTCGGTTTAACGTCCCACCTCCACTACAGCGTCTCTCATAATCATATAGTGGTTTTGGGACGTTAAACCCCACATATCAATCAATCAATGATATCTTCGGTTTAACGTCCCAAAACCACCATTTGATTATGAGAGACACCGTAGTGGAGGGCTCCAGCAATTGGGACCACCTGGGGTTCTTTAACGTGCACCCAAAACTGAGCACACGGGCCTACAACATTTCCGCCTCCATCGGAAATGCAGCCGCCGCAGCCGGGATTCGAACCCGCGACCTGCGCGTCAGCAGCCGAGTACCTTAGCCACTAGACCACCACGGCGGGGCACTTATAAATGATGCCTTTCAAGTTTCAAGTTTCAATTTTATTTCGCTATTTCCTTTCTACAAGAAAAAAAGAAAACGCAAGGGCAAGGAACAAAATGCTGCAAAACAGCAGCATGACGAGGTTCCTGCCCCCTTGCTTATAAACATTAGGTATAGGTTGTTTTTGCCTCTATAGTTGTTTTGATCTATATGTGCCCTAACAATGAAAGCGAGCCCTTAATTTGACACTTTTCTTCATTTATCGTCACTATAATCACGAGCCGCAGAGCATCTGAAAAAGAGAACTGGACAGGAAAGGCACGTGCGACGCGGTTCTCGATTGTACGCCTCTTCGTTTCGGACCCTGAACGGACAGCTTGCAGCGGCCAGGGTGGTCACGCTTTTTCCCTCTGAAAACTCAGGATGGGCGTGAAAGATGGAAACACAAAGGTCGGCTCTAAAGTCGAAGGTCACTCTAACGGGGTCGCCAACGAGTGGTCATTCTGCGGGGGTCCGGCTGCAGACTGGACAGGCCCTCCCTGCGTGATTCACCCACGAAGCATCTGCGCTAGAAAAGCACGGGTGCATGAGAAATCGCGCACTGCGGTCACCCAAATAATGTATCGCGGTTGTGTAATATTTAGGCGCTCATCACATTTTGTTTCGTTTAATATCACCCATCGTGGCAACCATTATCCTATTATCCTATTATACCATTAATATCGCCCATTGTGGCAACCATTAATACCTATTATCCGTTCTTTCATTTCGTGCACAGAAGCGTGTGTATTATAATGAAGGCACTCGACCTAACTGTATAGGGAAAGGGTGGTGATCCACTGACTTCAGGGTGACAAGTACACATGCGTCCTTTCTCTCGAAAGCCAGCATCGGTTTTACTGTGTTACATGCCTACTTGTTATGACGTCACGAAAGGGCCAATGTACCAGAACTCGTTTTTTTTTTTGTTAGGCACACCATACATAAAACCATAGACCGTGAAGCCAAGAGAGGCGCAGGGGACGTTATTTCAAGTTTTTAACTGTAGTGTAGAATCGTAGCGTAAATGAAAATGAAATAGTGTGACTGAAAAAATATCTTATCACTGGTAAATGTACCGAACCTACAACCTTCGAATAACACGTCCTATGCTCTACGAACATCGCTATATATATATATATATATATATATATATATATATATATATATATATATATATATATATATAGATATATATATATATATATATATATATATATATATATATATATATATATATATATATATATATATATATATATATATATACGGTGGGTTATGAATGATATAGGCTGAGAAGTCAGGAGGAGATGCAAGGCGATAGCTTTGCTGCACGGCACCGTATCCATCTCCAGCATGAGGCAGACGTATGAACGTATAGACAACCAATGCGTACATTTCTGTAAGTTCGCTCAAACAACTGTCGAGACCATAGAAACACGCGCGGTAGCAGTCAGTGGGACTTTCTTTTTTTTTTTTTCCACAGCTGTTGACGGTTCCGCTTGATTAGCGACCTTGCCACACCGTACACGTGGCGCATGACGCGGGGCTTCCAGTTGTTCCTATAAGTGGCTGGTTTCGAGGGTTCCTAAAAATAACGCTTGGCTTGGCATAACCGTTAGGAAAAAAACAAAAATAATAAGAAGAAAGACACGTTGACCGCCGCACGTCGCTTCGTTCGCGACTATCCTTCCTCGGGCGCGACATCTGCGTGCGCGAAGGTCGCAGGCGGTAGCCCACGTGTGCGCACAGTTTGCGGAGTTTGTGTATTGCAGAAGCCGTGTGTTTCTGTCTTTTTTTTTTTTCAGTAGCGCGCTCAGAAGGGCTATCTTTAGAAAAGGGTCCACGTTACGCCCATCATCCCCGCCCACGCACGCGACCCCGCCGCGGGTGATCGGTGTATCGCGTAACGGAAAGTCTGGACCGTATTCGTCCCAGGGATGACCTGTCCCGGACTGACCACCCTGCACGGGGTGAGGGGTCAGAGCATTGTTCGACCGGACAAGGCAGCGAGGACAGCACTGAAGTACCGCCGCGCGATAAGCCTTTTATGCACGCGTGCCCTGTTTTCGTGGTCGAAACCCCCTCTCCTGCAGTCCGGTCTGTGTCTTTCCATGCCCTTTTGAGGGTATCGAGTGGACATCGCCGTGTGGCCTACTCCTCTGCAGATGTCGTATAGATCTGTTCGTTCACACAGATGGCGCGATTCGCTCGCTGCTTCTCGTTTATTAACTGCACACCTAAGTTTTTATTTACATAGATTGCATCACCTCACTGTAGATTTTCTTTCTATATCTGCGCACGCCAACCATGTAGACAATAGCACATTGTTGAGGGGTGTTCTGCTACTTAAATGAGCTCATTAGCAGACGGGTCAGTTCAGTGACCAGATTCTGGACCAACTTTATGCGCCTTATGAGACAATGAGTAGACCTGAACAATCTATTCGCAGCCCTAAACTACGACCCTATCGTTCCCTAAAGAGCACAACGTCGAACCCAGCACTAATTGCTTATCTTTCACGAGTAATATCATTGGAATCACTGTGCTCTTGAAGCGAAGTCGTCGCCCTCATCTTTGTTTTTGTCACGAGATCCACAAAATACACTTTTTTCCCTTCAATTTCACGTCAAAACTCCGTGATACATGATTGTATTGACACAGGCTTTGACGCAGACTGTCAGCAATTAACTGTACCAGGACAAGAAACCAAAAAACAAATCATCGTGGTGTCACTACAAGTGATGCTGTCGAAACTACATGGTATACTGGCATCATTCGTTCGGTTACGCTTCTTTTCTGGCTTTTTGGTAGCCTAGAGCAACAGTGGTATTGTGGAATACAGCAAAAAAAAAAAAAAAAACACGTGAGAACAGGCGACAGAGACGATACGGGCGCTAACGAGCAAGCCCACAGGGCATTAATGATTTCGGAGATACCGTCCCAGCACAACACCCAGACGTGTATACAGTACGATGAAAGCGGTAAACAAGTCAAAGTTTGGACATATCCCAAATCGTCAATGCATTGATTGTGTACTTAACGTTGTATCGTCTTTCTAGTCTGCAGTGTGTCTCTCTTCTCTTTTCTTTTTTTCGCTATTTCACAATGCATTCATACCAACTAGCCCGGATTTCTTTATCTGCAGCACTGGCAGTTTTGTAATGGACATAGCGCTCGCTGTCATATACAAGATATGCTGTTCGCTGCGAGCTATCTGCTGGCTATTACTGATTCTCAAGGTAATTAACGGTAACGCTAACTCGATCATTTGTCTCGCATTTGCCGCTAAATGTCCTCCAACTTGCATCGTTTTACTTGGTCCGAAGAGGGCGCCTGTGTCGCTGTCTAGGACGAAAGTCGTCCGTACTATACTGGGGCGACATTGCGCGCGGACAATAGAGTCCTCTGTCAAGAAGAGTGACCGCCCTTGATCTTCCCGCGTTCTCG